GAATGGTTAAGATGTCTGCAGACTCTCAATGTCTCAATAAACTTTACTTCTTTGAATGAAGCTGTTGGGAACTGGTTGCTGCAGGAGCCTGACAACTGCTGGTCTTCCAAGGAGGTCTCCCATGCGAGTACTTGCCAAAGCTGACCCTGCTTAGCTTCCGAGATCTGATGGCCTGGGCTATTCAGGTCAGGGCGAGAAAACCATTTAGGTGGGGTGCAATTTACAGGCAAATCTGAGGTCCGCGCATTCTAGTTTTAGAGGTCAGGCTTCCCACAGAGATCAGCCTTTGACTTCCTAGTGGTTCATAGTTGGAGCAGGGCTCTTTTTGTGGAAAAAGCCCAGCAGGAACTCATTAGCATAACAGACCACACCCAACAGCAGAAACTCATTAGCCTATTAGGCCACACCCCTGACAGCACAGCTCATTGGCATATTAGACCACACCCCCATGTTACCAGAAGTGTGCTCATCCAGCCACACCCACCTTTGCCTTTTATTCTGTTCACCTTGTTTGTTGTCAAAACCCAGGGCCTTTTTTTGTAGCAGGAACCCCTTTGCATGTTAGGCCACACACCCCTCATGTAGCCAATCCTAATGAGTGTCTGCTGTTGGGTGTGGCCTATTATGCTAATGAGTTCCTGCTGGGCGTGGCCAACTCAGGAGCCAGCCGGAACTCCGTTCCTGTGCGTTCCTGCCCAAAAATAGCCCTGTCTGAGGTTAATAATATTCTGTCTCATCCTGCGCAATTCAACACGCCAAACAGGCGCATGTGAATTTTTTGTCAATGTGACTTACCACTGCTGGGCTCGTTGTAGTATTGACTGATGTAGTTGTTCATGTCGTCTTTGACCATAGCCTCTGTGGACATAAAAACGGATCATCAAGAGTCACATAACTTAACTCAGGGATTCCATCTTTTTAGACGCTGGTATGAGCGGCTGTTTTGGTGTGGTGGTTAAGATAGCCAGTTTGGTGCAGGGGTTAGGAGCACAGACTCTAGTCTGGGAGAACCGGGTTTGATTCCCCACTCCTCCACAGGCAGCTCCTGGTGCGGCCTTTCGCAAGTGCTCTCAGGGCTGTTCTCTCAGGAGCAGTCCTCGAAAGAGCTCTCTCAGGCCCACCTACCTCGCAGGTTGTCTGTTGTGGTGAGGGGAAGGGAAAGGAGATTGTAAGCCGCTCTGAGACTTCTTCGGGTAGTGAAGGGCGGGGTATATATCCATCCTCCTCCTCCACTTCTTCTTTTATCAATCTCATTTTAGACTGCCCCATTTTATGCGCTGTTATGCCCTGGATTGCTTTGTTGTTTTTATTGACTTGGATTGTTTTGCTGACATGTCTTTATTAGTATGACTCTTTTTTCCTGGGTTTAGTTTGTTTTTATTGTTGTGAACCACCCCGAGCAGGTCTGGAATAGCGGAGTACAAATTTTCTGAATGAACAAGCATACCTTTTTTTCCTGGGGAGAAACTTAATGTTCCTTTAGCCAGGAAAAGGAGGCGGATGTGACCACAGGGAAGAGGGCTAGGAGTTGCTTTCTGCTGCTCCAGGGGCCTGGCTTAGATTTTATGGGCAAAGAGTTACAGAGAAAAGGCAGATTTCAGCTGAGCTTACCACTGAGTCTATGACCCAGAATGATGTGACCACAGGGAAGAGGGCTAGGACTTGCTTTCTGCTGCTCCAGGGGCCTGGCTTAGATTTTATGGGCAAAGAGTTACAGAGAAAAGGCAGATTTCAGCTGAGCTTACCTAATGGTAAGAGTGGTTCAACCACTGAGTCTATGACCCAGAAGGAAGGGACTCTCCCTCGCTAGTCAACTTCAGACAGAGGTTGGACAGCTATCCCATTGGGAATGCTCTTATAAACAGCTTTAAAACGGGATTAGATTCATGGAGGAGAAGTCTATCAGTGGCTACTAGCCATGGTGACTGAGTGGAACCTCCTCATTTGGCCACTGTGTGAGACGGGATGCTGGACTAGAGGGAACCACTGGTCTGATCCAGCAGGACTCTTCTGATGTTCTTATCAGGGGAAGGCCTCGGTCTCTGTGCCCTGTTGTTGGCCACTGTGTGAGACAGGATGCTGGACTAGATGGACCACTGGTGTGATCTAGCAGGGCTCTTCTGATGTTCTAATGAAGGCCTCGGCCTCTATGCCCTGTTGTTGGCCCTCCAGAGGAAGTGGTCGGCCCCTGTGTGAGACAGGATGCTAGACTAAATGGACCACTGGTCTGATCCAGCAGGGCTCTTCTGATGTTCTTACCGGGGGAAGGCTTCGGCCTCTATGCCCTGTTGTTGGCCACTGTGTGAGACAGGATGGTGGACTACTGGTCTGATCCAGCAGGGCTCTTCTTATGTTCTTGTGAATGTTTTGAATTTCCTGCTTTGCGCTGGACCAGGCCTCTTCTAGTTTCAGAGGGTAGCTGCGTTGGCTAGATTTGAGTCCAGTAACATCTCAGGGAGCAATAAGATTTTCAGGGCGTGAGCTTCCAAGAGCCAAACCTCCCTCCGTCTGAGTCTGACGAAGGCAGCTTTGACTCTCAAAAACTTGCACCCTGAAAATCTTGTCGGTCTCTAAGGTGCCACTGCACCCGAATTGAGCCGTGCCAAATCTCGGACTCTCTGCTTCTGTGGTTTTCCGAAGCAGCATGAAACGAAGAGTTACCTCAGGACCAATGCTCCCTCTAAGCTGTGGAGTCTTGTGAGCAAAAATTCTACTTTGTGAGCTACCGGCATGAAAGTTGTCAGGGAGCGATTTGGCTACTGCATGAATTAGTTTGCTCCGGGGCCCTCCTTCCTGAGCAGAGACAAAACTGGGTGAGCCGGAGGCTAAGAAACTGTGAGCTAGCTCGCACTAACTCTGCTTAGAGGGAACACTGCCCAGGATGGCGAAATGAAAAGTTACCTCAGAGGTTGTTGTCCCCCCCCCCCCCCGAAAGCTTCGGAAAGAAGGTACGGCAGGAACACCCAAACCGAAAAGCAATCTGATCTGCCCACTTTGTGGCAGATCGCATGCCTTAAAAGCATCCTCTCCTTTTAAGTGCTTTTTTAAAAAAATACCACACTACGGGGGGTGGGGGGGGGGAGAAGCCACACACAGAGACGCAACCCCTCTCGCTTATTCCTCGGAGCCAGATTCCCCACACACCCCTCGGGTCTCTCTGGCCACGGCTCCCTTCTTTCACAGCACATTGTGGTTTGCAGGTGGAGAGAAACAGATGTTTTCTGCGGCATGCTTCTCTCCGCGCAACAAGGCCCAAACCACTGAGGCACTCTGTACCTGAAATAGCCGCCGCGCTCCTCAGATGGCAATCTAACCTGACACTGAAAGGGAACATGGCTGCCTTCCTGGTTTCCTTGGCTCTTAAAAGCTTTTTTGGCCTCTGCTGATCTTTAAATGCCTGCAGTCAGAGGTGTGCTTTCTGCTAATGCCGGGAGTTTAGAAAAGGAGCCTCGGTGTAGCTCAGGGCAATGCTGCCAGATTAGGAGTACATTGCAATGCTTTTTAGCTATCTGCTGTTAAAACACACTTCGTTTCGGCCCATACATAATTGATGCCATAAATGCCATGTACCCATCGCGGTTATACCGGTACTTAGGCGTTATTCCAGAGACGGTCGGGAGCGTTCACGTGCCAGGCATGTCCAACTGTGTATTTTAGCCAAAGCAAGGAAGGGGCTACAGCTGTGAAGGAGCTCCCAGGTTCTGAGACCCAACCGGATAGAAATCTCATGCAACCTTTTGCGAAAGGGAGATTTGTTTGGGACTGAGGATTTGGAGGAAAGTCCAGGTTATGAGGAAGCTCTCTGTTAGGGCAACGTGCATTGGGCCACCGTTCCAGGAGAGTGTTAAGCAGTGTTCCCTCTAAGCTGAGTTAGTGTGAGCTAGCTCACAGTTTTTTAGCCTCTGGCTCACAGATTTTTTTCCTCAACTCAGGAAGGATGGCTCCAGAGCACACTGATTTAATGCAGCAGCCAAACTGCTCACTCAGAAGTTTAATGCCAGTAGCTCACAAAGTAGAATTTTTGCTCACAAGTCTCCACAGCTTAGAGGGAACATTGGTGTTAAGTCTCTTGCAGAACAATAAAGCAGAAGTCCGGTGACGCCTGTCGTTAAGGTGACAATGGTGATGGTAATGCCGCTGGGGTGGATCCAAGGGTCCTGCAAGTAGCCGTTTGTCCTCCCAGGGCCGGTTCCAAGTTTTGGAGGGTCCTAGTTGAAGAGTGTCTAGGAGCTCCTGCTCCCCCCCCCAGGTCAGGCCCCTTGCTCATGCCTCCCTCCCCACCCACTCATCTTTAAAGCTCTTTATGGCCAGGGACCTGCATACCTGATGGACCACCTTTCCACATATGTACCCCAGAGAGCGCTGCGATCAGGGACCCAGAATCGCCTGTCCTCCCGAACCTTAAGGAGGCCAGACTGGTAGCGATGAGGGCCAGGGCTTTCTCGGTGGCGGCTCCACTCTGGTGGAATGAACTCCCGGAGGACATCAGGGCCCTGCGGGACCTGTTACAGTTCCGCAGGGGCCGCAAGACGGAGCTCTTCCGCCAGGCCTTTGGAGCCGCCACCACTACAGCTACCACCATTGCTATCAGTGATAACAATTGATATCTTACGGTGGAAGAGCCGTGATCCGCTGGACCCTTTAATTACTGCCCAAGACAATCCCCCTCTATGACATCTGAAGCACTTTCCCATGACACCTGAAGCTGAATGGAGCTGACGTGACAATGTCTAGCATTTTAATATTATTACTAGGAAAAAGGCCCGTTGTGGAAATAAATACAACGGCCTCTAGAAAGAGGCTCTGGGCGGGTGCCCTGGCCTTGGACACTCAATTTGCTGTGGCGACCTCAGCAGGGTATAATGACACTGAGTCCACCATTTTCTCCAGAGGAACTGATCTCTGCTACCTAAAGAACAGTTCTAATTTTGAGTGATCTCCAGCCCTCACCTGGAGATTGGCAATGATGGTTACCCAGAAGAGTATGGTTGGTTTGGAGGGTAGAGTCTATGGCTTTGTACCTGTCCGAGGTCCCACGCCTCCTGAAACCTCGCCCTCTCCAGGCTCCATCCCTCACATCTCCAGGAATTTCCCACCTGGAGTTGGCAACCCTATCTCCTTCCCAGCCAATCATCAACCTACCTTTATTTCTCCCTCACTCTTCAGCTTTCCACCCCCCACACACCTGCAGCCTCTCCCGTGCTCTGAAGCCCTGACTGCTACGTCACATTGGCTGTCATACGGGGGCCACCTCAGCAGCATA